AGTAGGGAATATTTTTGTTTTATGGCATATTTTTTCATAATAAATATCTTGATTTTCACATTGCTTGTCTAAAATTGACGAAAAAACTTTAGGGTATAGCTGTGGAAAATTTGGCTTGACAGGAAACCAGAAACACACCATATATATATATTTAGGCCTTAAGAACTATTAAAGACCTCAAAATCTGTGTCTCCTACTATATATCCTTTGTGAAAATGACATTTTTAAGTTGATTATTCACATTTTCATATACCAATCTTACATACTGATTATATAATTATACCATAATCAATCATTTCTGGGTCTATATACATCTCCACAGCAGGTAATACTTGATTTAATACATCAAAATATCAGGTAAATGTATATGTACCATACACACTCTAGCATCCATTTAATCCTGCACATGCTTTTTTCCCCCCATTTATAGAAATAGGAAGTCTGTTGTGTAAGATTGGCTTTAATTCAATACAATGACAGGTTTTGTTGCAAAAACTAGCATTGCTCCAAAAGGCTTTTACAATACCTATATTACACAATATTATCATTACTACTTAATATTTTTCTAGTTTTACCAGTCCCTATGATTCCTATTCCTACTGGAATAAATATTTCCTTCATAGCTTAATACCAATAATTTACGGAGTAAGCCAAAATACGCTAAAAGCTCACATAAATATCCCGGTACTGTTAGGCCAACCCGGAGTGGTAAAATGTATCAAACAGTTTCTGACTAGAAACATGTTACACAACAACCAAGCTAAGTGCCACACAGCCGTACACCTCATATACAGTAGCAACATTTATTTGTATAGAGCAAAATTTTACCAAGTTTGTGTCACTTGATAGTTTTTTCAATATACCATTCTTATCCTCCAATAAACCCAGGGGGTTAAAATATAGTCTCTAATTACAGAACTAAACTATCACAGACAAGGCTGGGCTTATCAATTAACTTAATCAATCACCCCTGAAGACACATTTGAACTCTTCCAATTCAAAGGTTGGAATAGTCAATTATGAAATTTCAGGGGTGAATGAGTTAACAGGCATGGGCTTATTGACTGATAAATATGGAAGTACTCTTTCTTGATTCCCCGCATTCAAGTATCTTTGAACCAATATGAAAGTTCCAATAGACCAAACTGTGACAATATGGAGCATGTTAAATACATCAAGGGGAGATAACCATGAACAGAAAAAACGACAAAAGTACTGCAAAATTTAGCCACAAACACCTCAAGGGGAGGCCTTGCAAAAGATTACAAGGGGACGTAACTCTTGATAATCATACACCATAAAAATACTTTGACAACTTGAACTCTGGTATTGTGTGGATCATGATAACTTCAATATAAAGTTAAGATACAGAAAATCTTACTAAAGATATTTTTACGATTTTTATTGTGGCCAGATTTCCAAACAGGACAGGTATTTTTCAAAATTAGATCGTGTTCACTAATTAGTCTTTGATTACTGGTGACTTCAAAACCTTCCTGCATTCGACAGGAGACATCATGATGGGTACAATATAGTACCTTTTAATAGGAGGGATCAGAAAGTCTTTCCTTTTGTTTTGCCGTCATCTCATTTTCCTATTTTTGTCTTTATTTATATTGACTTAACATTAAAAAAGTCTGTCCTTGTGTATTGACAATCTGGCATGTGATTGGCCTATTTTATATTGTTAATGATGAAACAAACACAAAGGGGACAAAAAACCAAGACGCCGGTGCTAAAATCTATAGAACACAACTAATGCATGTAATTCTTGATTTATTATGACAAGGGCGAATAACTCCTGTTAAACAAATACTATAAAATTATAAAATTATTTCAAACAGCTATTATTGAAGTACAATCTGGGGTCAGTATCTACACTGTGTCCTGTGAAGGCATTCATCAGCCCTGAGGGCTTTTACTGAAGTGAAATATTACAAAGAGCTTCGGTCATTATACAATAAGTGCCCCACTTTTGCCAATTATTTTGAAATCCCTAGAGGCCCAAATTGAGTCAACTGGTCCTTCGACCATCTGGCTACATCATGATCAGCCCCCGTATCATTTGATAGCAGATTGAGTAAAACGTACAGATAGTCACATAAAATGCAGGCTTTTAACTACCACTTAACTAGCATATTAAATGACAAATTGGAAAATCTATAACAGCTGGTTTTTTTTGAATAATTGTTATTTCATATTTTAAGCTATAATTCACAGATACAGTAGATGTCCTCTTTTTGAATCAGATTTTAAAAAAAAAAAACATTTCAAAAACTGACCTTGAATTGATTCATATAATTATGTATCTACACTTTCACCACCGTAGACGATAATGGACTCATCCCAATAAATGCATGGTAGAGTCTACTTAAGTTACCTAGGGGTGAAAGGGTTAAGTTACATGTAACAGTCTAACATACAGTTTGATAAGGGAATTTTTTTCCAGTCAAATAAATATTCACCATTCACTCTTAAAATTCATTTTCGCCTTGTAAATTTATTTCACACTTCCCATAAACTTACTATATATTGTATGCGTTTCACCATTACTTAGTCATGATAAATTTGCCCTCATTTAGGAAGGTGAAAAAGGTTCAAGTCAAACTGCAGAAAAAAAAATTCCGAGTAAACAGTATTTGTTATAGAAATAGTAAAATTGATTTATTTTTAGAATACCGGTAAAACACATAGCAAATGCATTACGAGCAATCAACAGAACCCAATCTCTAAAAAACAACTTCCCTATCTAAAATGAACAAAGGGCAATAACTCCATATATCATGGGGAATGTGACTCAATTTTAGCAATTGTAGGAAGTCCTAGCATACAAAATTCAACAATGGTAGGTGACAGAGTATATGAAATATCTGGGCAAATACACAAATAGAAAAAAAATACAAATTATTCAAAATATACAAAATGTGTATGACATGTCCATCTTACCAGACATTAAAATTATTTCTGTAGCCCTTCCTAATCAAGTAAGTACCTAAGCATGACAACTAGCGGCGCCACCTTGTAGAGAATTCCAGCATCTGTCCGACACACCAGACCATCCCTAACACACGGCCAAATCCCAAAATACACGGAAAGATTTTAACACAAATTGTCATAGCTGTTACAAACAATACCAAACTGTTATTCTCCCACGAAACATTTTCCCCGGAAATGTAATTGCACGGTTTTAACGCAACGTGTCACATACCAAAAGAGAGGCCAAGTGTCTTTTGCTCTCGGGAAAATTCGTAAATCGAGTTAGGACGTTATTTAACAGATTGTCCGGGGAGAAGTCAAAAGCAGTGCTTGAATTATTGATAGGAAATAACATTTACGACTCATTTTTACGGCCAAAGATCGGACTTGAATTTACGTTTGGTATAATATAATAGCATTGACATTACAGATACTGATGTACATGTTACACTTCAATGCCAACAGACCATCACAATAACTGACACTACACAGTTTCTCTGATCTGTTCTCATGTGTGATGCTAAGAACAAAAAGAAAATTTCACAAAAGTTGACGTTTAAGGATCCATGCCCCACTGCACTGCCGTTTTTTTCCTATATACATTTACCTCCCCTTAAATAACTCACCCCTGAAGACACATTATGAACTCTTCCAATTCAAAGGAATGAATTCACCTCCGGTTGGAAATAAATGTTTCCGTTGACCAGATACCTCCATCTGTTACAGTGATAGTGTAACATTCGAAGTCCAGGGTTCGAATCCCGGTCTGAAAACATTTGTTGAATAGTTTTATTTCATCATCATTATTTTTCCCTCGAGGTACGGTTCTCTTTTCAGAAATGATTTATGAAGTCTCCAATACTTAGTTACAGTTTTAAGCAGTAGTGCGAGTATCCTTAACGTACTCAGTTTTACTTTTACCCATTCCCTCCTCGAGTCACATCTGAACCTTACCAAAGGTCTGGTCCCTACCAAAAGTAGAACTTCCGACCTTCCCACAGCTTGTACCAAGTCAGGAAGTATTTTAACTCAGTCACCCCTGAACATTTATAATGAACTATATCAACCTTTGATTTGGAAGAGTTCTAATGTGTCGTCAGGGGTGACTGAGTTAAAAGTCCAATACCTCTTTCTGTGTCAAACCACAGCTCCAGGAACTGGGTATACACCACTGAGTCATTTGTCCTTAATCCAAAGTAAATTTTGTGAAACTTCTTCATTAAAAAATATCATATTTCAAAGTCTATCTATATATATATAGCTTAGTCCCTCCCCTGACACTCTCAGATAAAACTCATTTCAACCGCTTCTCCCCATTAAGCCCCCCCTCCCCCCACATATTATTTCTATACTGTATCTAGACACCAATTACCACCCTCGATCCCCATCACCACTCATTCCATCGAAAATATGTTTTTCTTCATCATTTCCAGTATCTTCTAGACCCCATCTTCTAGCAAATCCCTACATAACCACCCCAACTCAACCATCAACTCACCATATTTCTAGACCCCCTCCCCCTCCAAACAAATTGTGTCCACACTCCCTCCAACAAATACTTCTGCCCCCTGCGACCCCTCCCCGACAAAGTTATTTCTTTGCTATTTCTAGCCCCTTCTATCAACTTTGACACCTTCACTTGTGCCAGTGACCATTCCATATGTATATACACATTGTATAAGATACCAAAAATGGGTGGAGCTGCTCTCTAAATTTTGAATCAGCTTGCATCCAATTAAATTATTTCCATTTTTACTCATTCACCCCCGAAGACATATTTAAACTCTTCCAATTCAAAGGTTGGAATAGTTCATTATGAAATTTCAGGGGTGAATGAGTTAATCTTAATTTGAAAATATTTCTCTCAATAAATTGTTATCGCAAAAATGTTCCAGGATGACATAATATAGTGTCATTAAACTCCAAAATATAAATCATGCTGTTTTGTTCAAATCAAGCTCTTCTTATGTCACTTTTAAATGAAATTTAAAACAAAAACATGCATAAATCTTTTCAAAACTCACCATGAAAACAGTAGATTTTCATTCCAAAGAATTCTAAGGAACCAAGATGGCAGACGTCAATTTTTTCTGATGTCCCAATTTGATATGAGTGTTTCTAACCCTTTTCAATTTTGAAGGAAATGTCTGTTTGAAAGTCTTCCTCATTCAAATCTGGTACTGGTGATATTTTGAAATTGCCAACGCCCATACTGGAAACATCAAATGACTTCCGTTTTTCCTGCCGAAGCCACAATGGGCGACGCGACGAAACAAATGACGAAATTGATCTGTCCTTCAGAGTAAATGTCAGCACTTCACTCATCAATGTTGGAAATTTGATCATATTAATTACAAATTTTCCATGAAATGTCATCATTTTGCATGTCAGAAACATTGTCAACATCAATATTTTTTGTTGCACGTGTACAGCAAGTGGTATTAATACGCCAACAGAATCTGTAGCATTTAGTGTCCAGACATGTGCAGTCTTCGGAAATGTGAATAAAACAGTTGTTCTGGTATGTAACAGTATCTATACCATAAAAAGTCTTCCTACTATATTTATATAATGACCAATAATGACCATTCTAGTCCAGAAAAAAAAAAAATCAGGAATATTTTTCTACTTCTTGACACAAATTTGATCTTCCCCAGAGCTATAATATTCGTTACACAGAGTACCGGTAGCCCATGAATATAAACCACGAGTGGTTATACTGCTAGCTTCGGCAAACACGATTAAAACTATTACGATGGAAATGTCCCAGTCCGACTGCAGCCACTTCTGTCACTGTTTATACACAGAATGTTATACGCTGGCACCCGGGTTCGGGTTCGGTTCTGTAGACTGCTGTCGCGGTTGGTCGGCTGGTGTGGTGGGCACCAACACGCTCGAATGATTCCAATAACTATCTGCATCAGAGATCAGAAATGTTCCAAATGCGTCCCCGAGTACTAATTTGCCTGGATTTATCAATTATCGGCCAGTGTGCTCCATTAAAGGTCAGCCGACCACATAACAAAATTCTGCCCTAAAACTATAGACCCTGGAGTGCCCTAACAGCCCCTACATAGTCTAGGACCCCAGGGAGCCCTTATGGTCCAACATACTCAAGGTGACTTTGGGCAGGAAAACGCGCCTTTCCTTGTCGTTGTCATCAAGTCTAATCACTTATCTATCGAAACAGAAAAACACTCACATTTAGTCCATGTAGCTGAATGCCATCAAGTGCTAAAGCCCCTTAACTCGTGTTTGCTATGGGCCTTATATTCAAGCATCCTTACACATGAATAACCCAGACTTATTCCACGAAACAGTGTATACACGCTATCAGGCCTCCATTTTTAACACACAAGTACAAAACTTTGTCTAGTGTAGGACTTCAAATGCTGTGTCATTTTGTAGTAACCTGCACGGGATCTGATAAGTACCATCAACAGAACCATAGTGTCCCACATTATACACACCCCTTAGGGATCTAGCTATTAATACTCCCCGGTACTTAAGGGGTCCTCCTATTTTCAACAGCTTTTAAGGTTCAGAGTACAATCTGTGAAGGGCCAAGTAATAGAAAACCTCCACAGCATTAAGCAACCTGACTACAAAATGTGGGTCCTCGGGATCCAGTAACTGTCTAAAATCCTAAGGAATTTTGTACTGTAATCTGTGGCCCTATGGGATCCAGCAATGGTCGAAATCCTGTAGATCTTTACCTTAATCGATGGCCCTCGGAGATCCAGCAATGGTCTAAATCCTTAAGATCTAAACATCATCAGTGGCCCTTGGAGATCCAGCAATGGTCTAAATCCTTAAGATCTAAACATCATCAGTGGCCCTTGGAGATCCAGCAATCTTGCAAAATATTAAACGAAAATGAAATTCCATTCCTGTTCCTTTGGGATCTGCCTTTAACTGTCCTCAAAGTCCTGATCAGATGATGTATCTGGGCTGTCAAGCTTCAAACTGCAGAATTGAACCGCTATATTTGGGTGTGACACTGTAGATACATGTAATGCTATATAGTACAAGTACATCTTTCAGTTTTTAACACTGTCTGCTAAACATGTATGCATAATTACCAGTAACTGTCAGTCGTGCCAAAAGCCTAATAGTGTGTTCTGACAAACCACGCATTGATGGTCCTGCACGTGGTTCCACATCCTTCATCCCTGAGCTAGGCCTTAACTAGTCGATACACGCCCCCTCACACAAACACACATGTGAATATATATATATATATATATATATATATATGGTACACATGATTTTACATATGTCTCAAACCATCCGTGTTTGGCCCCTATATAACTCCTGTGAGGCTCTGTCAGAGGGAGACCCCAATTAGTATCAACTGTTTCAATTTTTATTCGAACTTTAGGCCGTTGGCCCATCAGTATATACAATACATATTATACACAAATCATGGCCAATGTACAGAGAATGAAGACAATCATATTCCATTATAATACCTTTAATTTGTTTGCCTCATAGATGAATTGTTTCAACGATGGTAATAACACATTTTGCTGAGAAATACATGGATTTAACCAAACATCACTAAGACTGTGTAATACACACACACAAATCTATAAGGACAAAAAAAATAAAAATATGTTTCCACTTTTGGCTCTCAAAAAGTTTTAAATGTATATTTGGTTGTAGGCTTATAGAGAGATAAGCAAAATTATTTTGCAAGGTGTTTCAGATTTTAAAGTGCTTATTTGAAACAAGCTGAATAAAGATCATGATAGATTTATGCATCACCGAAAATCTTCCCATAGACCCCTCATGCAAATTACTACAAAAATATCAATATATCCTAACAAATATGAGTTTTTTGGCTGATGAAAATGACTTTGTGACGATCTGTGAAAATCAACTTTGATTTCCCGCTACGTGATCTAAGCTGCCATCAGTTCCTCGACTTTAGACTCTGGAGTACAGTGAGGTGTCATGTGACAATTGTCTGTCCGGACATCACAAAGTTCATTTTCAGTTTTCGTAAATGGCCCCCAGAAGGATCTCGCTTCCTCCCTGTGCACTTGTAATTATAATCTAAAATATCTTATCATGGACAGATGTGAAGTACTGACTCACTATAAGCTACACTAATACCTTAACTCATTCACCCCTGAAATTTCATAATGAACTATTCCATCCTTTGATTTGGAAGAGTTCAAATGTGTCTACAGGGGTGAATGAGTTAATGAGGAACCATGACATTTTACAAATATCACAGGCAAAATCCCCGAAACCTGAGAGCAATGGGCCATTTTCAGCAAACTTTTGTAAATTTTAAAAATTAGAAAGGTCATTATATGTGAAATTTAATGAAAACAGAAATTTAGATGGAGCTAATTTCAGTTTAAAGGGGTCCCAGAGTCCCAGGGCCTTTCACAGAATAAATCTAATAACAAATACCTTTTGCATAAAATTCATTATAATTTTGCTCTCATTTTAGCACACTGGTTGAACTCAGAAGAAAAAAAAATCCTTTTGTTTCTATGACATTTCACAAGTGCTACATATTTAACTTGGTTTTATTGCAGGGGGTAAGGGGTGGGGGGAGAAGGGAGGGAGGAGG